GGCAATCACTTCCAAGATGATCTACAGGCACAAGTATGGACCTGAAGGGGAGCTGGCCCGCTACAAGTCTAGGCTTGTGGCACGTGGGTTTCAGCAGACAAAGGGGAAGGACTATGATGAGGTGTTTTCTTCTGTGGGGAAAGGAACAACACTGAGGGTGCTGTTGGCAATAGCTGCACTCCTGGGATGGAAGATACGGCAGATGGACATTGTGACTGCCTTTTTGAATGGGATCATTCTGGAGGAGGTGTACATGAAGCAGCCAGAGAGGCTGGATGATGGGAGCGGCAGGGTCTGCAGGCTGAAGAAGGCCATCTATGGCCTTAAGCAGGCGCCTCGTGCATGGTATCACAAGTTGGAGGAGGCGCTGTTGGCTGGGGGTTTCAAGAAGAGTGAGTGTGACCCCAGCCTGTTCCTGCTGCAGGAGAAGGATGAAATCCTCATGCTCTTGGTGTATGTGGATAATATCCTTCTCTTTTCTGCATCAACTGCTTTGCTCGACAGCACAGAGCAGATGCTGGAGATGCAGTTCAAGTGTTCCAAGGTGGGTGAGATGAAGTATTACCTGGGGATGCATGTGGAGAGAGATGTGGAAAAGGGTATGCTGAGGTTGCACCAGAGGAAGTACTGTGAGGGGCTGGCTGAGAAGTATGGGCTGCAAGAAGGGGGAAAGCCAGCAACACCACTACCTTCGAGGTTTACTGTGGAGCCATGTGCTGATGAGGAGGTAGTGGGTGAGAGTGACAGGAAGCTGTTTCATTCGATGGTTGGGTCGCTGAATTATGCAGCAAATCATACACGGCCTGACATTGCATTTGCTACATCACGGTTGGTTAGTGTGGTCTCACGCCCTAGTCATGAGCAGCTAGAAGCGGCCAAGAGGTTGGTCCGCTATGTGAGTGCTATGGCATTAGTGGGATTGGAGTACAGTGGAGTGAGGCAGCGGTTGCACAGAGGTGCTGCAGATGTGAAGAGTGGAGAGATGCTCTTGAGTTGCTATACTGACGCTAGCTTCAACTCAGTGAAAGCGGATGGCACCAGCATTGGGGGTTATGTGTGCTTGCTAGGAGGTGGTGCTGTGAGCTTTCGTAGCAAGAAGCAGAATGAGGTGGGATTTTCCTCATGTGAGACTGAGTACATGGCCTTACACCATGGGGCCAAGGAAGTGGTGTGGCTGAGGCGTTTGTTGGAGGAGTTGGGAGTTGGTCAGGAGGAGCCGACAGTTGTGTTTTGTGACAATGAGTCTGCAGTGAAGCTCGCCAAGAATGCTTGTCTGCATGGGCTGACAAAACACATAAGGCCTAAGTGGCATTGGGTGAGGAGACTCCTTGATAAGGAGGTGCGGCTGGAGATAGTGAAGACCCATCAGCAAGCAGCAGATATTTTCACTAAGCGTCTGGCAGAGGCCGATCATTGGAAGAGCATGAAGCTTGCTGGGATGAGTGTGCATTGAGTATGCATGCTTGAGATGTTGGTATGGGAGATTGTTGTGTGATGTCATCATATGCTATCACATTCTGTGTGCCTCCCATCCCTTGTTTCAATTCGCATGTATGGTTTGACTGTGTGTGAAAGCATTTATGTGGTGTGTGTTCTGGAGTTTAGGAATATGTTTTGTGTTATTCTGTCTGAGCAGATATTTGTGATGATAGATCTTGATAAGATCTTTCCGACGCAACAAGAATCGCTTCAATCGGAGTAAGAACGCGGAAGCTATGAAGATTCAAAGTTCATGAGCTTGCGTTACAATTGCGGCGGTTACAAAGTGAAGTTGTGGGGTGACTCTATATGGAGTTGGGACCTTTGGGGTTGGGGAAATTTTTCCCTCTACAGTAACAGCTGCAAATTGGTTGGGAACAACCAAGCTAGATTGGCAAGGGTGGCCAACTTGAAAGGGATTGGTTGGGAAGGGACAAATGTCAAAGTTGGGGTTCCTATAGGGGGGAATCTTTGTGCTTATGGAGTTTCCTTGGTTGGGGACTCTCTTAGGACCTTCCCTCTCATCCCTCTCTTCTATCCCAACCTTTCTCTTGCTCCTCTAATTCCTTGTGAGATTCTTGAACTTTGATTGAACTTTTGAGATTGAGTTAAGTTCTCCTCCTACAGCTTACCCCCAGTGCGTCGAAAGACATAGCGTCGCGAATACTCCATCAATCGACGTGATTCAAATTGAGAACGGTATCTAAGATTACAAGCTACAACATATCCGATTTTCACGACATTCCAACGGCTAGTTTTTTGTCGACGTTGTTTCTTGTGAAGACGACTTCTCTGTCCAGAATTTCGGATTTATATTTTGAGTAATTCTAGCTCCTAAGTTCACCTAGACTCCGTCCTTAATCCTAACAGAGGTGTCCAGCATGAACAGGCCAGACACCGGGTCTCGGGGGAATGTGGTGAGGGAGGCACCAGTGGCGGCCTCGGTATAGACAGCGTACCGCTCGTGCCTAGGGAACGTAGTGGTGACGCCTAGGTCCTGGAGGCAGCCGACACCAACTAGGTTCCTAGAGAACGAGGGGATGTGCAGGCCTGTAAGAGAGCCCAAAGGAACTGCCGGACAGGGAAGGGTAGTGGAGCTACGGGCGACTACAGGACCTGAGGAAGGGTCTGCAAGGGAAATTGCGGCGTGAGCGTAGTGGAGTCTCGAAAGAAGCACCGGGAAGCACCGGAGTCCAGGGTAAAAGAGAGCACGGCAGTAGGGGCAGGGGCCGAAGCAACGAGGGAGGAGCCAAGGCTAAACAAAGCAGGGCATCCTACGCCTGACGCAGCAGGGGAGTCTGATCTAGGCACACTTACGCTAGGCAACAGGGGGTAATAGGAAGCAGTCACACTAGAGTCATCGACATACAGCACATGCAAAGGAGAACTAATCTCATGCATGTCCATATCAAAGATCTGAACACCGCGGCGGGGCAAACTGTGCCAGCCGGGAGGTCGGGCGACGGGCCGAAGCGGAGACCAAACAGGTCGTTCAGGCGACTGAAACATGGGGGTGTGACCGATCTTACCGCACACGAGGTCGCGGCGAGGACCGGTCTGGAGCTGGTACTGGCAGCGCCCGTCACTCGAACCACCACCCGACGTCACGCTGCATGCACGACCACTGCGACCGCTGCCACCACAAGCGCCAGACCACCCGGGCGGGAGACAACCAACCCGTCGCTGCTGCTGCTGCTGCTACTGCTGTGGCGGCTGCTGGTGCTGGTGTTGCTGCTGCTGTGACTGCTGCTGCTGGTCCAACGGCGGTGCCTGCTGCTGCTGCTGGGGCTGCAGGTCGGCGGCACTAGCCCCAGCCCCCTCGTCTGTACTACCAGCGGGCGACCCGGTTCCACCACCTCCTCTGCCCCCTCCTCCACTACCGCCTCCACGCCCAGCCTTGGGGCGGCGACCCTTCCCCCGGCAAAACTGTGCTGCGGCGGCTGTCTAAGCAACAGCAGCAGAGCCGTCACAGAAAGTACAGTGAGCGGGGGCACAACTCTGAAAGATAGTGACCGGCACAGTACCGCTAGACTGGGCGATAGAGCGCTGGCGGGTCTCTATGACAGACAGGGTGTCGACAAAGTCAGTGAGGGTGAGGTTAGCGGGGTGGAGACTAAGGAAGTGATCGCGGGCAGTAGCAAGGCGGTCAGGGAGGCGAGTGGCAAGCAGGTAGAGGGTAGAGCAGATATGTTTGACAAGCTTATGATGGGGTGCATTTTTGAGAGCACTCACTTTTCTGGGGTTGCATTTTACATAACACCCTGCTCGTTTTATGCAGCAAAAAATAGTATTTCGTCGTGCATTTCCAGGTCCGCTGGGTTGAAAACAACGAGCAGGATGAAAAATGCAATGTCAACTACCATTAGCAACCAAAAAGCGGGCAGAAGAATCAACACAAGTTGCAGTGCAAAATCGAAACGTTAGGGGAGGTCGAGACTTGGGAGGATTTCGACCGTCGAAGTCGCAGATTCTGTTGTGATTTGACGGTCAAATTCCTCCCGAGCGAAATCCTCAGGTCTTGATGATCGCAGGTGCGGCACAAAGCTGGCCCTGACCACAGCACTCTTTAGGGATTGGCCAACGACGCCCCGAACGTACAAAGTTTCGTCCCGGCACAAGCTTGTCTCATTAACAGCCGCTCCGTACAGTTGTGTGCACACATGGCCTGGAGCACTCATATTCAAATTGCATTTTACATAACACATGGGCACTATAATTTTCCGAGCCACTGTTTACACCCACTCATTTTTTAGTGAATTTTTATATCCACCATAGGGTGTTATATACAGGGGATTACGGTAAAAATCGGCAACTTGACGGGTTTCTCATTATCGCCTGTCCTAGCCTCCTCTAGCGCCTCGCCATCAACAGCAGCAGCATGCGCCCCTGCGTTGTCAGAGCCGAGGCAAGCGAAAGCCCTTGACTAGCTACAGTAACTACTGTACAGGTCATATTCCCTTATCAGCCGGGGGGCGACTCGGGGCATTTCGCGTACATGGAAAATGCTAGGGCAAACGGGACTATGGGGTGTCGCAAGATGTTTTTTGCTTGGATTTTTATGAACTGTTCATGGTCGGCAGTGTTGGCGTTTGTTGCAATCATGTGTCGCTCACCAGATCGCACGCGCGTCAACTCAGGGTTCATGGTAAAGTTTCAGATTCCTCACAACATTCAACGCGCTTTATCAAGAACAAGGAAAAGGCGTTTACATTTGAGAAATTTGCCAACGCGCAAATGGATGGGGTAGGCGAACATCGACGAGAGCAGTGACCAGTCATGTTTGCGCTACTAATTGTAATCAGCTGACGACACTGTACAAACGTGGAGGAACATAAATGGCTGGTCTAGTGGTTGTTGGATTTTCCAAAAAGTGATGTGGATTCGGCTCCGAGCATTGGTTGACGATTCTGACACAAACAGCCAGTGTCAGATCGCCTGCCATTGAAATTCGTCGCACGAGCACAATGATTGGCTATCGCAGAATGTTGCCAATTGACTGTAATGAGTACTGTTCACATGACATGGGTACACTTTGCGTACAAGGAGTCGCCCTTAAGGAAGAAATGCATATAGAATACTCCCGGGTGTAAAAGGGGGTCGTCTACAAGGCATATGACCTGTAACTCTAATTCCTTCTGCCTTTCCCCTTCATCCAAAGCGCCGCTCCCCCTGCCCCCTTCACATCGCAAGAGTCCTCCCTGCACGTTCCCCCCCCACCTTGCGCACGCATAGCAGCAGAGACAGCTCTTCCCCAGTTCTTGCCCGCGCCACGCCACGCCGCACGTCGGACAGGGACTTGCTCAAATGGCACGAGAGAGTAGCAGAGGGCACAACAGTGCGAGTGCAGCAGAGGGCACAACAGAGAGAGAGTGCAGCAGAGGGAACAATAGTGAGAGAGTGCAACAGAGGGCACAACAATGAGAGATTGCAGCAGAGGGCACACCAGAGAAAGTGAGTGCAGCAAAGGGCACAACAATGAGAGAGTGCAGCAGAGGGCACAACAGAGAGAGAGTGCAGCAGAAAGTGAGTGTGGCAGGGAGAGTGAGCTGCAGAGTGAGTATGCAGCAGAGAGAGAGAGAGTGCAGCAGAGAGAGTGGAGGAGAGAGAGAGCGGGGGAGAGAGCAGGGAGATGGGAGGGGAGTGACTGAATATGGTCCTTACCAGATGGAGAAACGCCGTCAAAAGTGGACGGCGTGCAGAGAGAAGGGACGGCTGGTAGCGCGAGGGCAGCCAGACAGGTGGGGTTCCCTTATCACAGCTCATCATTGTGCCACACCTTGGACCACCGAGCGCCAAGGGAGGGGCATCTTGCTCGAAGACTAGTGCTGAGGGAGCTGGAGGGGGGAGTCGGAAGAAGAGAGGGGATCAGGGAGGGGGAGCGATCAGTGTTGGCGTTGGAGAGGCAGCCACAATAAGGGGCATGGCGAGACATGAGGGAAGGGGCCTTTCGAGACAAGGGGAACCGCGAGAAGGGAGGGGAGGGGCCGTTCAGTCTGACATCAACGGGGGGAGAAGAGGGGAGGTGGCATGTGAGTGCGGCAGAGGGGCGGCGGAAAACGACCGTGGGAGAGGGGAGGCGGCATGTGACCATAGGAGAGGGGAGGCGGCATGCGACCGTAGGAGAGGGGAGGCGGCATGCGACCGTGGGAGAGAGGAGGCGGCATGCGACCGTGGGAGAGGGGAGGCGGTGTTACAAGGCGAAAGCGAACTCACCCGAAAGTTCGCCAACTCAGCGAACTGTAGATTTCGAGGTTGGGTTCGTCCAACCAAAATCGTGCGCCTCGAACTGAACAATTCCCCAACCCCAAATTTGTACAGCTGCCTGTGAGTCGCAGCACTACTCCAGAGCAGATTTTGAGAGCCAGCAAAGCATGGAAAGTGCCAGCACAAGCTAGAGATTAACTACTGCAGCTACTACAAGCGCCAGCAAAGACTACAATCGACATCTACAAGATGACGAAGACGCCAGTGTTAGGATTAAGGACGGAGTCTAGGTGAACTTAGGAGCTAGAATTACTCAAAATATAAATCCGAAATTCTGGACAGAAAAGTCGTCTTCACAAGAAACGACGTCGACAAACAACTAGCCGTTGGAATGTCGCGAAACTTGGATATGTTGTAGCTCTTAATCTCAGCTACCGTTCCCAATTTGAATCATGTTGATTGATAAGTATTCGCGACGCTATGGCTTTCGACGCACTAGGGGGTAAGCTGTAGGAGGAGAACTTAACTCAATCTCAAAGGTTCAATCAAAGTTCAAGAATCTCACAAGGAATTAGAGGAGCAAGAGAAAGGTTGGGATAGAAGAGAGGGATGAGAGGGAAGGTCCCAAGAGAGTCCCCAACCAAGGAAACCCCATAAGCACAAAGATTCCCTCCCTATAGGAACCCCAACTTTGACATTTGTCCCTTCCCAACCAATCCATCCAAGTTGGCCACCCTTGCCAACCTAGCTTGGTTGTTCCCAACCAATTTGCAGCTGTTACAGTAGAGTGACGAATTTCCCCAACCCCAAAGGTCCCAACTCCATATAAAGTCACCCCACAACTTCACTTTGTAACCGCCGCAATTGTAACGCAAGCTCATGAACTTTGAATCTTCATAGCTTTCGCGTTCTTGCTCCGATTGACGCGATTCTTGTTGCGTCGGAAAGATCTTCTCAAGATCTATCATCACAAATACCTGCTCAGACAGAATAACACAAAACACATTCCCAAACTCCAGAACACACCACACACAAATTCTTTCACACACAGTCAAACCATACTGCGAATTGAAACAAGGGATGGGAGGCAGACAGAATGTGATAGCATATGATGACATCACACAACAATCTCCCCCTCTGGCTGCCAACCATCATCGACCATACCACATCTCAAGCATGCATACTCAATGCACACTCATCCCAGCAAGCTTCATGCCCTTCCAATGATCCGCCTCCGCAAGACGCTTAGTGAAAATATCTGCTGCCTGCTGATGGGTCTTCACTATCTCCAGCCGCACCTCCTTATCAAGGATTCTCCTCACCCAATGCCACTTAGGCCTTATGTGTTTTGTCAGCCCATGCAGACAAGCATTCTTGGCCAGCTTCACTGCAGACTCATTGTCACAGAACACAACTGTCGGCTCCTCCTGACCAACTCCCAACTCCTCCAACAAACGCCTCAGCCATACCACTTCCTTGGCCCCATGGTGTAAGGCCATGTACTCAGTCTCACATGAAGACAATCCCACCTCATTCTGCTTCTTGCTGCGCCAGCTCACAGCACCACCTCCTAGCAAGCACACATAACCCCCAATGCTGGTGCCATCCGCTTTCACTGAGTTGAAGCTAGCGTCAGTATAGCAACTCAAGAGCATCTTCCACTCTTCACATCTGCAGCACCTCTCTGCAACCGCTGCCTCACTCCACTGTACTCCAATCCCACTGATGCCGTAGCACTCACATAGCGGACCAACCTCTTGGCCGCTTCCAGCTGCTCATGACTAGGGCGTGAGACCACACTAGCCAACCGTGATGTAGAAATGCAATGTCAGGCCGTGTATGATTTGCAGCATAATTCAGCGACCCAACCATCGAATGAAACAGCTTCCTGTCACTCTCACCCACTACCTCCTCATCAGCACATGGCTCCACAGTAAACCCTGAAGGTAGTGGTGTTGCTGGCTTTCCCCCATCTTGCAGCCCATACTTCTCAGCCAGCCCCTCACAGTACTTCCTCTGGTGCAACCTCAGCACACCCTTTTCCACATCTCTCTCCACGTGCATCCCCAAGTAGTACTTCACCTCACCCATCTTGGAGCACTTGAACTGCATCTCCAGCATCTGCTCTGCGCTGTCCAGCAAAGCAGTGGATGCAGAAAAGAGAAGGATATCATCCACATACACCAAGAGCATGAGGATTTCATCCTTCTCCTGCAGCAGGAACAGGCTGGGGTCACACTCACTCTTCTTGAAACCCCCAGCCAACAGCGCCTCCTCCAACTTGTGATACCATGCACGAGGCGCCTGCTTAAGGCCATAGATGGCCTTCTTCAGCCTGCAGACCCTGCCGCTCCCGTCATCCAGCCCCTCTGGCTGCTTCATGTACACCTCCTCCAGAATGATCCCATTCAGAAAGGCAGTCACAATGTCCATCTGCCGTATCTTCCATCCCAGGAGTGCAGCTATCGCCAACAGCACCCTCAGTGTTGTTCCTTTCCCCACAGGAGCAAACACCTCATCATAGTCCTTCCCCTTTGTCTGCTGAAACCCCCGTGCCACAAGCCTAGACTTGTAGCGGGTCAGCTCCCCTTCAGGTCCATACTTGTGCCTGTAGATCATCTTGGAAGTGATTGCCTTCTTTCCAGGAGGCAAGTCACACAGGTCCCATGTCTCGTTCTCAATTAGGGACCCGAACTCCTCATCCTCACTCGCCTTCCACTTCTCCCCATTTGGTCCATTCAAGGCCTCCTCTCGAGTCTTGGGCTCAGGGATTGGTGCCCAGTAGCAGTGAGCGATCTCATCTTCCTCAATCTGCTCAACCACACTCCCAGCCTGCACCACATTTGGCTTGCCTCTTCCCCCATAGGTCAGCCTCACAGGAGGGCGCACATCCCTCCTAGGTCGCTCAGGCGGGTGTGGAACTCGAGGTGGAGACTCATGTTGCTGTTGCTGCTCCACTTCAGCTGCTCCCCCTTCTTCAGTCACCCCAGATATCTCCTCCTCAGACACTGCAACCTCCACCTGCCTTGAAGGCTGCTGCAACTCATCTGCCTCCACAATGAGTGGTGTAGATGGAAGCTTCTGTTGCTGCTGCTTCCATTCCTTATAGTACAGGGACTCAAGAAACTTCACATCCCTTGACACTGTCAGCTTCTGGGTGGTCAAGTCCCATAGCAGCCATCCCTTGTGATCCTTTGCAATCCCCAAGTGCACACCCCATCTTCCAGAAGCCTCCAACTTCCCTCTTTTCTCCTTAGGCACATGAAACACTACCATGCACCCAAATGCCCTCAGCATATTCACAGCTGGAGCACTCCCATACCACTTGGTATATGGGATCCACTCCTTATCCCCAACTGTAGCCAGCACCCTATTCTTCACAAGGGCGACCTGCCTCAGTGCAGACACCCAAAACGGATCAGGTAGCCCTGCACGCCCAAGGAGAGTGCGTGCCCCCTCCTGCAGGGTCCTGTTGAACCTCTCAGCCACGCCATTCTGCTGCGGGTTGTAGGGCACTGTCAGTTGATGCTGGATCCCCTTCCTCTTCAACTCCCCCTCAAAATCAGCTCCAATGAACTCCCCACCATTGTCACTGCGGATCACCTTCACCTTGTGTCCGCATTCCCTCTGAGCTCTCGGCATCCACTCCTTAAGGACAGCCGCTGCCACCTCCCCCTTGCTCTTCAAAGGGTAAACCCACACTGCCCGAGTGTGGTCATCCACAATTGTCAAGAAATAGCGGCTGCCTGAGAGGGAAGGGGCTCTTGTGGGCCCCACCACATCCATGTGCACAAGTGCAAGTGGGGTCTTGGCTGGTCCTGTAGTGCTGTTGAAGGGGAACTTGGAGAACTTGGTCTCCAAGCATGTAGGGCAGCTCCCAATCTCCTTCACTCCCCCTTTCACCTCCAAGCCCTTCAGGCTCCCATCCTTCACCAACTTCTGCAGCATAGGGAAGTTCACATGACACAGCCTCTCATGCCATGTCTCCCAATCGGCCTCTCCACTCCTTGATGAAGCCTTAGCCCATGCCGCACTCGCATCCACACCAGCAAGCACCTCACCATGTGTCTGCTGCTGCTGCACTTTCTTGACTGCTTCCAGGACCCCATCAGTTGGTGCAGTTGCATCTCCTCCTGCTGTTGCCTTTGCCGCTGCTGCCGTTGCTGCTGTTGGAGTCTTCCCATTCCATGGGATGATGGGCAGCTGCCACAGGTCCTTGATGCAGCTGGTCTCCTCTTCCAGACTCCACAGCACCTTCTTCCCAAGCTTAGCACGGCAGCTGGTTGGTCCAAAGGTCACTTCGGCCTTACTCTTCTGCAGTCGCCGCACAGAGAGAAGGTTAGCAGACAAGCCTTTAACCAGCAGAACATTCCCAAGCCCCACAAGCTCCCCATTAGCTCCCTTAACCTTGGCATTCCCAACACCAATGACAGGGAGCAAAGCACCTGACGCTGCTGCCACATACTTGATCTTCCCAGGGGGTTTTACCTCATCAAGCAAATCTGCCCGTGGAGTCATGTGACTGGTGCAACCCGAATCAATCACCCAGTGCGTGAGAGGGTGCATCACAACCTTTCCCACAGATCCCACATCACCCTCATGCCCATGCACATCCTCAACCATGAGATACATCCCAGGATAGGCGTTACCTTGTGCACCTTCACCTTGTGCACCTGAGCCTTGCACAGCGCCACCTTGTGCGCGTTCACCACTTGGCGGCTTCATGCCTGGAGGTGCCCATCCCTCCGGCCTGCTGAAGCACTTGAACCAAGGATGCCCGACCTTCTTGCAGTACCAGCAGGTGCCCTCCATTCTGGTACTCCCCCTGCCACTGGAGCTCCCATGCCCCTCATTATAGTCACCTCGGCCTCTACCTCTGCCAAAGCTTCTCCCACGGCCTCGGCCTCTCCAACCCCCTCTTCCTCTGCTGCGCCCTGCAGCTCCATACCCCTCAGCAGTCTTAGTGGCAGCACCGCCTCCCACATGGCGTCTGCGGAAGTCCTCCTGCAGAATCTGCTGCCTTAGCCACTCAGGTGTCCATTGATCTTGCTGAGAGTTGAGGGTGGGGATGAGGTTGTCCCAAGAGTTGTCCAACACCGAGATGATCTTGGTGCACTGCTGCAGCTGAGATACACTGCTGCCCGCTGCTGCCATCCTTGCATAGGTGTCCTTGATCTTGTCAAGGACCGGCTTCACATCGTCCCCTGGTCGCATGGAGATGGCAGCAAGTTCCTTCTCGAGCACGATCACCATCGGGAGAGTGTTGGGCTGAATCACATCGCGTAGTAGTTTCCACGCCCTTGGACCCGAATCATCCGCTTCCACAAGATCCTTGATGTGCTCGAACATCTCCTTGTTGACCGATTGAAGGATGAGGTCGAAAAGCACCGTGCTTTTCTCAATCCACCGTTCACGTGCTTCGCCTTCTTCCGGCATCTTCTCTTCCCCAACAGCAATCTTCAGTAGCTTGTAGCGTTTGAAGGCACTCCTCATCCGTCCGCTCCATTCCTCATAGTTGGAGCCATCCAAAGCTTCAACTTTTGATGGCGGCGGCTCACTTGTCTTCTCAGCTACAGCTCCTCTTCCATTAGCATCTCCTCCTCTCTCATTCATCTTCTCCTTGAGAAATGACGAATTTCAGCCCCCCTTTGCTGTCCACACTCAGCTCCCTCGATATTTTCACAAGTGTCGGCGTCCACGAAATTTCGGCAGAGTTTCCCTTAGCGGAAGACACATCCAACCTTTAGAACACCACTTAGGCACACCCACAGGCCATGGTGGGTCTAGAAGGGTCTTCACACTTCTGTAGACTCCTCTCAACGTCCTTAATACAGCTCTGATACCACTTGTTAGGATTAAGGACGGAGTCTAGGTGAACTTAGGAGCTAGAATTACTCAAAATATAAATCCGAAATTCTGGACAGAAAAGTCGTCTTCACAAGAAACGACGTCGACAAACAACTAGCCGTTGGAATGTCGCGAAACTTGGATATGTTGTAGCTCTTAATCTCAGCTACCGTTCCCAATTTGAATCATGTTGATTGATAAAGTATTCGCGACGCTATGGCTTTCGACGCACTAGGGGGTAAGCTGTAGGAGGAGAACTTAACTCAATCTCAAAGGTTCAATCAAAGTTCAAGAATCTCACAAGGAATTAGAGGAGCAAGAGAAAGGTTGGGATAGAAGAGAGGGATGAGAGGGAAGGTCCCAAGAGAGTCCCCAACCAAGGAAACCCCATAAGCACAAAGATTCCCTCCCTATAGGAACCCCAACTTTGACATTTGTCCCTTCCCAACCAATCCATCCAAGTTGGCCACCCTTGCCAACCTAGCTTGGTTGTTCCCAACCAATTTGCAGCTGTTACAGTAGAGTGACGAATTTCCCCAACCCCAAAGGTCCCAACTCCATATAAAGTCACCCCACAACTTCACTTTGTAACCGCCGCAATTGTAACGCAAGCTCATGAACTTTGAATCTTCATAGCTTTCGCGTTCTTGCTCCGATTGACGCGATTCTTGTTGCGTCGGAAAGATCTTCTCAAGATCTATCATCACAAATACCTGCTCAGACAGAATAACACAAAACACATTCCCAAACTCCAGAACACACCACACACAAATTCTTTCACACACAGTCAAACCATACGTGCGAATTGAAACAAGGGATGAGAGGCAGACAGAATGTGATAGCATATGATGACATCACACAACAGCCAGCACTACATGGAAAATGAAAACTACTTGTATAGTTGATTTCTATGCTTGTTTAGCTATTTCCTAGGAGAGGCAAGGCTACTTGTAAATAATCATTAGCTTGCTTGCTTGTATCCAGCTAGAATAGAAATGCCAAGGCGCCACGTGCGACCTTATCTAGGCGCCTTTAGAAGTACCAAGGTGCCAAGAGAGCTTTCCTAGTATAAGTGCGCTCTCTTCTATGTTTGAAGCTATCATATGATCCAGTGATTATGCTAGCACTCTTTCTTCAAGGATCCCTCAACCTCTACTCCTACTAACAGCCCCAGAGCTATTATATTTGGTCTCAGAGCCACGTTCCTGCATATTTTTTTTCTAGAAGGTCATGAAGTCCGAGCAACCCCCTTTTCTTGACAATTGGGCGGTTTTCTAGAAAATTACCGCGCCCAAATCGTTTCTGAAGTTCGTGAGAGCTTGCGAGCTGAGTTGCAAGCTAGTATGGCTGCAGCCGGTGTGGTAGCAGCAAATCCTCCTCCTGCTACGCCTTCTGGAGATAGTCAGCGCACTACACCGACGATTCCCGATTTATTCATCCCAGGCAAAAGTCAACCCGTTGTTAGTCGTTGGCTCTTCTTAGTGGAGCAGTACTTGACGCTGAGCCACGTTGCACCTTCCGAGTGGAGCGCCTTTGCTGGCACGTTACTCCACGGCTCCTCAGTTTCTTGGTGGCAAGCTGCACACACCTCCATCACCTTGTGGCAGCACTTCACGCAGGCGTTCACGGCCGCCTTCCAACCAGTGAATCCGAGCATCAAGGCGCGTGATCGACTTGCGGCTCTCAAGCAGCTGAAATCCATTCAAGAGTACGCTGCCAACTTCCGTGACATCGCCCAGGAAATCCCCGACCTCTCCGACGCTGAACGCATGGACCGCTTCAAGCATGGGTTGAAACAGAACGTGCGTATGGAGGTTGAGCTGAGGGATTGCACAACGCTTGAGGAAATGATCAGAGTCGCTGAACGGTATGACTCAATTCAATTTGCTTATAAAGCAAGGTTTCCTCGTGCCCTGTTGCTCCCTTTTGCTCCCTCCTATCAGCCCTCTGCTTCAACAGGCTACGCTCAGCAAGAACCTGCTTTGATGGACCTGGATGTGATGGAGAAGAAGCGGAATCATAACCCCTACGTCGTCTGCTTCAAGTGCGGCAAGAAAGGTCACATCTGGCAATTCTGCCGCTGTCCTCCAAATCCAAAACCACTTCTTCCTACCCTTGGAAAAGGTGGTCACCAGTAAGTGCGGGGTGACTTTCTGGTGCAACCCCTATCCCCATGATTGCTTCCCTTGAAAACCCTTCTCCCTCTAAACCCCTTTGCCTCTCTATGACCATTCAAGGCCGAGTCGTTAAAGCCTTGATTGACAGTGGTGCCTCCTCTAATTTCATCTCTTCCTCACTTGTGTCTGAATTATCTCTCCCTCTCCAACCAGACATAAAGCCTCCGACAGTCTTACTTGCCGACAGGTCATCCCTCTCGTGTGGCCCCGTTCCTTACCCTGTCAACTGCACCATCGGATCTTACAAGGACAAGCTCTACTTTCAGCAAGCTCCCTTGAAAGGTCACGATGTCATTCTTGGGAGAAACTGGCTTTCTGGCAAGAACCCGTCCATTGACTGGACCCATGACCATGTCACCATCAAGCATAATGGCATCGACATCACCCTACCTCAATTCCCTTCTTCCCCTTCCTTACCTACCTGCAAGGCAGATAAAGAAATCCCTTAAAGACCCGACTGCACAATTCTTCCTCTGCTATCTTCACCAATTTTTTCAAGCCTCATCTATCCCTCCATCTCCTCTTGTGTCTAATGACCCCCCTGAAATTCAGAAACTTCTTTCTGAATTTAAGGATGTCTTTCCCTCAGACCTCCCTCCAGGACTACCACCCAAATGAGCCGTTGACCACAGAATCTGCGTATAGCCTGGATCTGAGCCTACTGTGCGTGCTACATATCGGATGAGCACGGCGGAGTTGCAAGAAGTCCAGAAACAACTTGAGGAGCTCCTGGACAAAGGCTTCATCCGCGTAAGCTCATCGCCCTATGCAGCACCAACCCTCTTTGTCAAAAAGAAGGATGGCAGCATGCATGCATGTGCATCAACTACCGTGCGCTCAACAAAATTACCATCAAGAACCGCTACCCCCTTCCTCGCGTTGAGGAGCTTTTCGACCAGTTGGGTGAGGCCAATTTTTTCTCTAAGCTTGATCTTCGCGGCGGCTATCACCAGGTACGTGTCGTTGACGAAGACGTTGAGAAAACAGCCTTCAGAACTCGGTATGGGCATTTCAAATTCCTTGTCCTTCCTTTGGACTGACAAATGCCCCTGCCACTTTCATGTGTATGATGAATGATATCTTCCGTGATTTCTTAGACCGATTTGTCATTGCCTTTATTGATGACATTTTGATCTATAGCAAATCATTGGGTGAGCATGTTCATCATATAAGACAGGTGCTGACTCCTCTGCGCTAGTACCGCCTTTTTGTTAAACAAAGCAAGTGTGAATTTGCTCGGTCCTTGATTCCTTTCTTTGGGCCATATTATCTCACACAATCAGTTGTCCATGGACCCTTCTAAGGTAAAATCAGTCCAATATTAGAAGCCTCCAACTTCCATCAAGGAACTGCAAGTCTTTCTTGGCCTCGCCAACTATTATCGAAAGTTCATTCAACACTTTGCTGCCATCACTTCCCCCCTCTCTAACCTACTGCGTAAGACAGAAGGATTCCACTGGGGACCAGATGAAGACAAAGCCTTTGAGGCCATCAAACAAGCCTTAACCTCGTCTACTTTAGCCCTTCCCAACCCTTCCCTTCCCTACACCATATGGACAGATGCCTCCAGTGTTGCAACGGGTGCAATCCTTTGTCAAGATCAGTGACATGGCCTTCAACCCCTTGCTTTCGACTCTCGAAAGCTCAAACCTGCTGAGTGCAACTATGCCACTCATGACCGTGAGATGTTGGCCATTGTCCATGCCATTAAAAAGTGGCGTTGCTACAGAATGTCCATATGCAACCCGTCACTGTCCTTACTGACCATTGCACCCTTCAACACTCCAAGACCCAACCTCACCTTACCCCGAAACAGGCTCGTTAGATGGAATACTTGGAACAGTATGTGCCTGACCTGAAGATTGAGTACCGTGCTGGTCACCTCAATCTTGCTGACTCGTTGACTCGACCTCCACCCTCTCAGCTTTCAGCCATTGGCACTGTGACTTGGGATGAGAAATTCATCAGCAATTTCACCATGGGATATCGGCGTGAATCATTTTACCTCTCCTCTGCCCCTACCCATAAGTCTATCTACTATGAGTCCCCTTTCTGGTACAAGACAGACTCTCACACCATCTGTGTCCCAGCAAACCGAAAGCTGCGTCACCTCTTGCTTTGCGAGCATCATGACCAGAACACACACTTTGGAGTCGACAAGACGCTTGCGACCATCTCTGCCAATTTCTTCTGACCCAGGCTCTCTTGTGACGTTCGCTCCTGTGTGCGCTCCTGCCATATCTGTCAGTGTAATTCAAAAATACTACCGTGGGAGAGGGGAGGCGGCTGCGACCGTGGGAGAGGGGAGGCGGCTGCGACCGTGGGAGAGGGGAGGCGGCGTGCAACCGTGGGAGAGGGGAGGCGGCATGCGACTGTGGGAGAGGGGAGGCGGCGTGCGAATGTAGGAGAGGGGAGGCGGCATGCGAATGTAGGAGAGGGGAGGCGGCAAGCGACCGTGGGAGAGGAGAGGCGGCCTGCGACCGTGGTTTCGGGTGTGACGAGCAGAGAAATTTCGGATGAAACACAGCTAGATGAGTGGGAAATATCAGAGAGAGGAAAAACGCGGAGAAATAAAATGCGGATACACATCCCAAATTTCTCGCCCCCAAATAGCTGACGAAAAGGTGGGTTACCCACAGGTGACAGACCCTCTGCTGCCCCCAAGTTTCCCACATGAGTGACGCAAGTTACTTTGTTGTGGGGAAAAACTGTTACTGCTCCCAAAAAGTCCGCATCTTTTCGCGACAAAATGGAGCAACCAATCAAAACGGTTTCGCGACTGCTGTTTTGAAGTGGTGCTTCGGCCCGTGCCACGGCTTTCTTCAGCACCAATAGCAAGTCTCGACGCGAGGTCCGGAACTCTCGTTTGAATGGTTCGAGGATAAACTACGGAAACTAGAGATATATGGAACTGGTTCGAAAAAAAAAATGATGTGTTTGACGGAGCTTGTTAAACTGGGTATGAAAGTGATGGGTCAGGTTGACGCGACTGATCAATGAGAGCATTGCATATTGAACCACTCTTGAGTGCCAGCCAACCATCTGTCATAGTTTGCGCCCACAGAGTACATGCCAGGGCGTGGATGGCTGGTATGCAGTAAACTGTCGCGTGCACTTGATGAAGTCAGAAGTTTGATTTATATTGCAGCGAGCCCTGAGATTCCGTACATGAGAGGCTTGAAAGTTGACAAAACAAAGTTCTCTTTTGGGCGCACTGTCTACGGTCCAAAGCTCTGGCACGAAGCTGTGAGTACTGTGCGTACTCACCGATAAACTCACAACTGAAGCCTCAACCCCCAATCTTTATCCCGATGCTATTCCCTCTGCGATCTCTTGTTTCCGTTCTTTCACAAGCACTTCGCCCTGGTATTCTGGTTCAGACGTCTCTATTAAGTACCACGCGAGCCCTGATTTTCTGTTCAGCTCCTCGGTATTCCATACTCTGTCTGTTGCCCCATGCCGTGGTGCCCTATGCATTCCCTGATTCTGTCCGTCGTGTGTACGCAGTGATTTCTACTCCCCTTAGAGTGAAGCATCGTGCATCCAACGTGAGGGCTTCGACAAACTTCCAGTGCATCTGCGTTGTTTAAGCGGGTATGTAACAACGGCTTCTGTTAGGAGTCATGGTGTAGTGCGACTGTATGTTTCGGCACATGTTGATTTGTTTTTTTTTTTTTTTTTTTTTTCCAAAACCTGCCTTTTATCTGCGCTAGTGGATGTGTTTCTTGACCGTTCACAGAAATGTTGTGAGGGTTCTTCTAACTTCACAGCATTTAATGACTTCTTGGGAGGAAGGTGAGTTGTCCTTGTGGTTAATTTCTTGGCGGGTGCTGTCATGCAATTTCTTGAATCATTGTCCGCCACTATTGTGCCTTATAGAGGTTCCTTCTCGAGCCTGAATGTAAGTGTAAGCTGCTAGAAGTTTCGGCCAGTGTCACCTTATTACTAACCGCTTTCCGTTTTCCAGATTTTTGTGCAGGTATTTAGATCAGTAGAATTCCGCAGCCATGGGTCTCTGTATCATCCTGTATTGTTGTACTGAATTTGTTGTAATATAGATGTTATGGTTGATAACGACGTCTAATTGTAAACATATCGAACTCATATTTCTTTGTAAATAGTAATGATTTGCAGTCCAGCGTAGGTGCAAATTATTTGATGGTGTTCTATGATTAGGTATTATATGCATTCGCGCAGAGCAGCATTTTTCCCTGCTTGCTTCCTTCCAGGATTGGCCACCGCGCGGACGCGGCTCGGGGTGATGTCACCCGTTGGTTTGGTGTTGGAATCTTGCAGGAGTCAAAGTTGTGACACGCATGTCACCCGCCGAGGGTAACCTGCGGGTTACAACGAAAGTAAATTCGGCAGTGGGATATACGCGGGACTGGTGCTCAGCGACACAAGGGTAACCCTCGCGGGGGAAACTCTCGGGAAACCTGTGACGATCATGTTGGTTGAATAGAGCGGGAAAGGGCAAAGGAGCTTAATATAGGAGAGGTGTCTAGCGACACCTGAAACGATTACAAGCGAGGGAAAGCAGGGAGGGAGTGTGGGGGAGCGGGCGGATCGTGAAACCCACGCTGCGGGGAGAGGGAAATGGAGCCGGCTAGCAGAACGGGAGGCGCTGACGAGAGATGGTGGCAAACAGGGAGTGATGGGAGGCAGAAAAAGATACCCACGGGGCGGCGCAATGCAAGGGAGGCGGAAAATGATAGAGGTGGAAGGTAGTTTGTGTGGAATGCCGAATAGCTTCCATACCTTGTCAACGTCGGTGGAAATGCTTTAAAACCCGGGCAACCTCGTATGTCATATCGCGGTGCACGCTAAGATTGAAGGCGCTACTTTAAAATCAGACTGAGGCACTACTGCAAGGTACTAGACACCACCCTGAATGAATCTGAAGGTACTACTGCATGATGGAATACCAGGGAGACGAGTGAAGAGTTGTGCCCGAACCGCACAAACGTCTGAATTTGGGATGCGCGCCAACACTTCTGACGCGATCCGTGCAACAACACGTAAGACGCTAGCGAAGTGTATCAGAGTCAAGTTTGCAATAATAGGTGGGTTGCAATGCGCTTCATTATAACTAACAGTTTACCAAGATGACAAAACAAACATAAACATAATACGACACGACGTACTACCGTGATACGACATATTGTCAAACATGACAAACATACCACTGCTGTTTCGAATGAACACAGGGGGTGAAAAGGAACGGAAAAAATGATTATTTCGTACTAAAAGATGGTCTAGAAAAACATCGGCCCTGACCAGTTTAAGCAAAAAATAATTCAAATCCTTGGGGCATACTATGTAGGTGGCTGGAAAAATACTACTACGTCTAATTAGGTATTAAAAAAAAGAAATCATAGTGAAAGAACATGGAAATCTATTTCCGTCGTAGCACAACAATTCAAGCAAACAGGATGTAACGAATGCGACCTTATCGGCGATTCTGACATGGCATGTCTAGCAGCGTTCCCCACAACTCTGACACCAACTCACAGCCGTAAACAGCGAATCTTCATCAATTTGAACCAGCGAACAGTGCACCCCTTCCGTAGGTTTAACAATCGCGCCCAACACCGCCAGCCCCCACAATTTCCGCCCGTACCCCGACCCCCCTGTACCTTCCCGCTTCCCCCAGAACCCCTTCATCCCAAAAATCACCCCTGCAAAATTCAACCCACATGATCGTCACAGGTTTCCCAAGGGTTTCCCCACGAGGGTTACCCTTGTGTAGCTGGGCACCAGTTGTAAGGAATTTCCATTCCTTACTGAGTCGGCCGCTACCGCGTACACCCAAACATCTCGACTCGCCACGTTTGGCCCTCATTCAAGGCCCAACCCTTGCCCGAGTCGCGTCCGACACTGTCGCCACATTGCCGAACCTACCCACATTCCGAGGTTTTCGCCCTATTACGTCTACTCCTATATAACCTCGTGCTTTCATTGCAATAGCGACCTTGGATTCTCACGTTATAGTTCATTGACATCTTCTAAATCATAATAGCTGGTATCAGAGCCCGACCTTTCTTGGAACCTTCGGTTTCTCAGGCTACTTAGTTAAGGGTAGTCAGAGGGGATTAGCACGGCTGCACAGCAGTTGCCTTGGTTCGTAAATATTTTTACGCCAGCAACTACAGCGTGTGCGCAGGAGCCGGGCGACGATGCACGAAGCGAGGCGGGTGAGCAGCAACCGACGCCAGTGGAGCTGGCACGACTAGCGGCAACAGCCCCGCGCTCGACAAGTGGCGGCGTGAGATATCAGCAACCCGCTCCTTTCGACCCAGCTAATAAAGGCGTGATGGTGCGGCAGTGGATCTTCGCCATGAATATCTACTTCAACGCGGCGGGCATCCGAGACGATCAGAAGCGGATCAACCATGCGTTGACACTGCTGCAAGGAGCCACCCTACAATGGTGGAAGGTCATCGTCGACTCAGCGGCAACTCGCACAGAAGGACAGCATGAGTGGTCCGAAGAATTCGGCGACGAAGACGAGGCAGATTTGCTGTTTGGTGCAACTCACATTCGCACGTGGGCAACGTGGTGCGCAGAGCTTCGCAAGTGGTTTGAGCATGCTCCTGACTCAGACAAAGCGCGCAAGACACTACGCATGTGGAAGCAGTTGGGATCTGTGTCCGACTACACCGCGTCATTCTTGACGTTGGTGGACCGATGCGGCTACATGCACGAGTTGGAGAAGGTCGACAAGTACATGGGCAGGCTGAAGCCTGAAATACAGTACCAAATAATACTGCAACGTTCTGCGAAACGGTTACAAGACTTTATCCAACTCGCCAAAGCTGCTGATTCGCTCACGAAGCCGAGGACGAACTTCTACGACGAAGGTCGCCCTCGAGAACAGTACCAGCACGCCACGATAAAAGGGATGGACGCAGTGGATATTTACGCAGTTGCTCCGCGAAATACGGGGCTATGCTACCACTGTGGCCGACCGGGTCACATCAAACGCAACTACCAAGAGTTCAAAGCCATCCAGAATTCTATGGGGAAGAAGCCGGAGGAGCGACCGGGAAATAAGTCGCGTCAGTAAGTACCGGGCCCTTACTGGCGGGCAGGCTTCTTCGCCCGAGCCACACAGTCCCCACCGGGTGGTGATCCTGATTTCTGCAATCGACCGGACCCGGACGAATAAGGGGGACGAAACTGCTGATCACCCTGTGTTGGTGGAGGGTAAAGTCAACAGGGTGTTGCTGAAAATATTCGTGGATGGAGGAGCGAGTCATAGTCTCATACAGCTGGACAGGGCTAAAAAAATGGGTATCCCCTTACTAAAGTGTCTACCCAAAATTGACGCACAACTGGTGGATGGAACACTGCTGGCCATACGGGAGCGAGTGGAGCACGTCAGTTTTCATTGCGGGGAGCACGTAAAATTTTGGATGGGGCTGCTGGCGACCACACTCGACGGTTGCGACGTGCTGCTGGGACGAGATTGGCTGCGACAGTACAACCCGAGGATCGATTGGACGATGGGCAGCTGCAGCATAAAACTCGATGGGATCTACCGCGAGCTACCGAAATGGACGGGACCCCGCATGCGAAGTACTCACGTCCACGCGATAACTTTCAAGCGCGCGATTAAAACGGGAGCTGCAGCGTACGCCATTGATCTCCGCGAGGTGACGTCGCCAACCACTGGCGAAGATATCGCGAAGCTGTGGGAAGCCGTTCCTCCGGATTTAGCGGACCTGATTCGAAAATACTCCGAGATTTTTCCGGACGACCTGCCCGTCGGTCTTCCGCCAAGCCGACCCGAAGACCACCGCATCGAGCTGGAACCAGGCGCCCAACCGATAGTACAGCGACAATTTCGGCTCAGCCAACCGGAACTCGAAGAATTGCAGCAGCAGTTGGATTACCTCCTGACGAAGGGTTTTATTCAGCCCAGCACGTCCCCATACGCCGCCCCAACACTGTTCACACCGAAAAAAGATGGAGGATTCCATATGTGCATCGACTACCGCGCGCTCGACCGCATCACCATCAAGTCCCGTTACCCGATCCCGCGAGCCGACGATCTACTCGATCAACTTTGCGGTGCCAAGTTCTTCTCGAAAATCGATCTGTGAGGAGGTTACCATCAAATTCGCGTCGCCGCCGAAGATTGCCACAAAACCGCATTCCGAACATGCTACGGCAGTTACGAATACCTGGTGATGCCCTTTGGCCTCACGAATGCGCCATCGACTTTTCAGATGACCATGAACGGCGTTTTCCGGGAACTCGTGGATAAATGCGTGATTATGTACCTTGATGACAAACTAATCTACAGCCGCAGCTGGGAGCAGCACTTAAAGGATCTTGATGCAGTCTTCACGCTGCTGCACAAGAATCGCCTCATCACGAAAGGGTCTAAGTGCGACTTTCTTAAGTAGGAGTTGGAATTTTTGGGCCACGTCGTCTCTACCGAAGGAGTGAAAATCGACCCCAAGAAAATCAAGACCATACAGAAGTGGAAGCCGCCGACCAACATCAAAGAGCTGCAGAGTTTTCTGGGCTTCGTCAACTACGTCCACCGCTTTATCCCAAATATGGCGGGGTTATCTGCCCCGCTAACCGACCGACTGAAGGATCACGATTGTTTTTGGTGGGGAGAGAAGCAGCAAGCTGCATTCGACCAACTCAAGATCGCCTTCATGTCGCCGCGTGTCCTTCGCATCTTCGATCCTGACCGTCCATACGAAGTCGTCACCAACGCCAGCGACATCGCCATCGGTGCAGTTCTCTTACATGAATTCGACGACGGGTTACGGCCAATCGCCTACGAATCACGGAAGCTGCAGGGCGCGAAAAAAAACTATACTGTCCATGACAAGGAAATGCTGGCGATCGTCCACGCGTTCAAGACTTGGCGGTGCTACCTGACAGGCGCTGACGTCATGGTGTGAACTAACCACAAATCCTTACAGTACCTGCACGCCCAACCGAATCTCAACCCACGACAGATCCGATGGCTCGATTTCCTCGAGTCAAATTTCCATTACACCATCACCTACAAACGGGGCGCCAATAATATTGCCGATGCCCTGACTCGCCCTACTGCCCATACCGCCGCTATACTAGTCGCCCAGACCAACCCATTACTTACCGGACTATTCACCCACAGCTACAAGATCGATCCTTTCTTCCGCTCTGCTATCCATCAACAGCATACCACCGCCACCGGACCTTATTTTAATAAGCGCGGTACTTCTCGCATCTGGGTGCCCGGCTACGATTTACTTCGTACCCTTCTAATCCAGGAATCCCACAACAACCCTACCTCAGGGCATTTCGACGTCGATAAAACCACGAAGATGCTGCAGCGGGATTATTACTGGCCGAATATGGCCGATGACGTGCGCAAGTACGTGTCCTCCTGCACTGCCTGCCAGATTATGAAATCGTCGCATCAGCGAGTAGCCGGACTACTACAGCCGTTGGTTCCGCCCGAGCGACCCTGGCAACACGTCACGATGGACTACGTGACAGGATTGCCGACCGGTCCAAGCGGAAACGACGCCATCCTCGTGATCGTTGACCGACTCACAAAAATGGTTCACTTCATCGCCTGCCAACAAAACATCACAGCCGAACAAACTGCGCAGCTGTTCATCGCGAACGTCATCCGACTGCACGGACTGCCCTCCGCCATCATTTCGGACCGAAACCCGAAATTCACATCGAATTTCTGGCGCCACCTGTGGGACAAATTTGGCACCAAACTACAATTTTCCTCCGCCTACCACCCACAGACCGATGGGCAGACCGAACGAGTCAACCAGACCATGGAGCAACTCATTCGAACTACCTGTACTGACCCACAGACATGGGAGAAATCCCTTCCGCTGCTGGAATTCGCGTATAATAACGCGACCTCCGCCACAACCCATCAGTCCCCATTTTTCCTAAACTACGGACAGGACCCAGTGGTACCCTCTACCCCGAACATCAAGACATCCGTGCCCCGGTCCCAGAAATTTGCTGAAGACATTCTCGTCGCTCGAGAAAAAGCAGCTGAGGCAATCAGGAAAGCCAACATGGTCGCAAGCCGACAAGCCGATCGACATCGACGTGACGTTACTTACAAAGTGGGAGATCTCGTCCTACTCGATACTCGCAATTTGCGGTTGCCGATCCCGAGCAAGCTCCGGCCCAAATTCTGCGGACCTTTCCAAGTGACGAATATGGTGACACCTGTCACTGTTCACCTTCGACTCCCGGCTGACTGGCGTCACCACCCGACTTTCCACGTCAGCCTCTTACGGCCCTATGTCCCCAGTTCGTCGGAATTGGCACGCCACCGCGACGTACCACAGCTGACGCCCCTACAGGAACCGACGACCGAACCCTTGAAAATTCTCGGCCATCAAGTCATGACGCAGCTGAACCGTCGGATGGTTGATTTTCTCGTCCGCTGGCGCGATCACACGTCAGAACATGACAGCTGGGTACCGCTCGCTGATCTAGAATCACATCCGATTCTAACAGTGTATTACCAACGTCGGAATGTTTCTGATGCCCGAGGACTCGTTTAGGAGGGGGGGGTAGTGTAAGGAATTTCCATTCCTTACTGAGTCGGCCGCTACCACGTACACCCGAACATCTCGACTCGCCACGTTCGGCCCTCATTCTCGGCCCAACCCTTGCCCGAGTCGCGTCCGACACCGTCGCCACATTGCTGAACCTACCCACGTTCCGAGGTTATCGACCTATTACGTCTACTCCTATATAACCTCGTGCTTTCATTGCAATAGCGACCTTGGATTCTCACGTTATAGTTCATTGACATCTTCTAAATCATAACACCAGTCCCCAAGTATCCCACTGTCGAATTTACTTTCGTTGTGACCCGCAAGTTACCCCCGGCAGGTGACGTGCGTGTCATAACTTTGACTCCTGCAGGATTCCAACACCAAACCAACAGGTGACGTCACCCCGAGCCGCGTCCGCGCGGTGGCCAATCCCGGAAGGAAGCAAGCAGGGAAAAATGCTGCTCTGCGCGAATGCATATAATACCTAATCATAGAACACCATCAAATAATTTGCGCCTACGCTAGCTTGCAAATCATTACTATTTACAAAGAAATTAGACTTCAATATGTTTACAATCAGACGTCTGGTATCAACTGTGTCGCGCTACCCGCGGAAAGACAGGAGCCTTCCCGCGGTTGACACAGCAGCAAGGGAAGTGGTGAGTGGATGAAAGAGAAGAGTTGGAGGATGGGATATACAAGAAAGCATAGGCTGAACAAAAAGGGGTGGTACAGTAGAATACTGTAGTGAATTTGGGAGTGGGCGAATCGAGGGAGGGGGAATTGGAATGTAAGAGTGTCGAGGCGCATGCAGGAAGAGGGCGAAGTGCGTCAGCGTGGGGCTAATCTGACGAGAACCTGGGCTAGGGGCAATCTCAGTTCCCGATGGGATAACGAGGAGGAAGGGTGAGAAAGGGATAGAGGTGGACGTGTATATAGGAGGTGACTCTGTAGGACATTTGCTTTTCGCTTGTATGTTTTCCTTCTATACTGCAATTTGTTCTAAACCCACTTGAGTCTAGCAGCGCGGGAATTCCGTCTTAAGCAGATCCGAGCAGGCGGCGTGTGGCTTGTAACATACATGCGAAAAGACTACGACCTGCTGGTGGGGATGGAGCTGATTTACAAGATAGGGGCGCAAATTGATGCATGGGGGGAGAAGCTGAGCTTTAGGACCGAGTACTGGAAAGAAGGCGGAGAACAGGGCAACTTACCGGTGCAGTTTGTGAAGATGGAGCCAAGGAAGGCCCTGAGAGCCATGGAGTCACTACAGAAGGCAAAGGAGGAGAAAATAGCAGGGGGCAAGAAAGAGGCCGAGAGAGACAGGGAGGAATCACTCAGGCAGACGAAGGGAGCGACACCGGGGGATGAGCCGATCACGATAGTGGAGCTCTTTGGAGGAATAGGGGTGGGGTTGGCAGCGGCGCTAGAAGCCGGATTGGTTGTGCAAAAATGGATACTAGTGGAGATAGACCCAAAGGCCAGGCGCATGGCCTGGCATCATGCAGACCAATTGCTCATGAGATACCCAGGACAGATAAGTAAAGCCGTGATTGAGGAGGCGAAAAAGGAAGGAGCGTGGGACGTGAGACAGCTAAACGAAGCAACCGTATGGGGGTGGGGGCAAGTGGACCTGGTAGTGGCGGGCTGGGAGTGCCAAGGCACCTCAAGAGCCGGAAAAGGGCGAGGAATGGGAGATGCTCGCACGGCGTTACTGGACGAGCTCCTGCAAGTGCTGAGGTGGATCCAGGAAGGGGGATCGAGATGCTGCTATGTGGTGGAGCACGTCGACATGGAGGGGGACCCGCGAGAACCAATAAGGGCAACGCAAGAGAAGGTGGTGGCGGAGCTGGCGGCAGGCATAAGTTGGGATGCAGCACTGAACGGGGCCAGGGCTCACCGGGTAAGGAGATATTGGCAGAATGGAGTGGAGCCAGAGAAGCTGAAGCGAGAATTAGCAGACCTGAGGAGGGACACCCGACTCTTAGTAGACGACATCCTGGAGCCAGGAAGGACAGCAGCCCCTGTGGAAAAAAGAGATCACCCGAAGCAGCTGCAGTGCAACAAGCTGGGCGAGCCGAGAAGAGCCTGGCCCACCCTAGTGGCCTACGAGGGAGCACGGGGGTTCATGCTAGAAGACGGCAAGCCAGGTCCAGGGATGGTCTACAACAGAGAGAGAGGACAGTGGGAGGAGCCGACAGCAATCGAGGGAGAATTAGCCATGGGATACCTGCCGGGGGCAACGGCAGCACGAGGAGTGAGGGAGCAGGAGTGCAGGGCGGCCTTGGGAAGAGCGATGGATCAGCATGCCTTACAGTGGCTGCTGAAGGAAATGATGCGGCAGCAACACGAACGAGAACCAAGCCAACGGCCAGCAGAAAGGCAAAGGAAGCCGATCAAACAAAGCCGGGCTTACCTGACGCAAGAAGGAGAGCAGGGAGAGGCGATGGACAAGAAGAAGGGGGAGGAGCCAAAGAAGGAGAGAGAGAAAAAGTGGGAGCTGAGCCCGGACCTTGACGGCAAGGTGGCTACAGCAATACAGCTAGCTCTAGAAAGCCATGGTAAGACATTCGCCTACACCTTGCACGACCTGGGGAGGTGCACGCTGCACGAGTTGGAGCTACCGCTGGAGACCGAAGTGCCCATCTACCAGCGGAGATGACGGATGAGCCCGGGAGACGAAGAGATTTGCCGAAGCAAATGCAAAGAACTGCTGGAGGCGGGGCTGATACGCCCTTCTAACTCAGCATACGCGGCAGCGACAGTGGTGGCAGCAAGGACAGATCTCACAGGAGAGGTGCTGGCGAGAAGAATGTGCGGCGACTACCGAGAACTCAATCGAGTAACGAGAGCCGACCGATATAGCATGCCAACTGCAGAGGAGATCTTTGACAAGCTAGAAGGCGCGGTCATTTTCTCGACTTTAGATATGCGACAGGGATTCAACCAGATAGCAATAAAAGAAGGAGACAAAGGCAAGACGGCCTTCCATGGAGCTGACGGCCTGTATGAATGGAACGTGATGCCGTTTGGGCTGAGTCATGGATCAAGTGCTGAAGACTGTGCCAGCAGCAGCGTGCTACATACATGACGTAGTGATTTTCAGCAAAAGCGAAGAAGAGCATGCTGAACACCTGAAGGCAACGCTAGATGCTATAGCGGCAGCAGGGCTGACCTGCCATCCAGAGAAATGCAAAATAGCCAGAAAGACGGTGGCCTACCTGGGATTTGAGGTGCAAGGCGGGAAGATGGGGATCCAAGAGGCCAAGGTGGCAGTGCTGGACAAGCTGGGGGCACCAAAAGACAAGGGAGTCCTGAGAGCACTCCTGGGGTTCTTGAACTACTACCGGCGCTTTATCCCGAACTTCAGCAAGAGAGCATATAGGCTGAATCAGCTGCTGAGGGAGGGGCAGGCATGGAAGTGGGGATCAGAAGAGGAGCAGGCAAGAAGAGACCTGTTAGAGGCCATCAAGGCAGGGACGGTGCTGCAGCTGCCAAAGAAAGACGCGCCATTCACAATCTACACGGACTGGAGCAGCATGGGTATGGGAGCCGTACTGTGTCAAGAGCTAGGAGGAGAAGAGCGAGTGGTGGCATACGCCAGTCGAAGCTGTACAGCAACGGAAGCTAACTACAGGTCATATGAGGGCGAAGGATTGGCAGCAGTGTGGGGAGTAACCCACTTCAGGGCCTACTTGCAAGGGCGCAAATTCACGCTAGTAACAGACCACCAGCCACTCCTATGGCTGATGACTAATCAGACGCTGACGGGGCGGAATGCACGATGGGCAATGAGATTGCAGGAATATGATTTTGTCATCAAGCATTGCGCGGGCAAGACGCTGCAACATGCTGACGGTCTGTCCAGGAACCCTCCACCCGCAGAGGAACAGCAGTGGGCAGCAGCCGCAATACAGCAGGGAGAGAAAGAGCTGGCGCAAGAGGCGAAGGAGCAAAGAGCAGAGGACATCTGGCAAGACCAGGAGACATTGCACTGGGTGCAGGGGCTGACAAAGGATGTAGCAGCAGTGACGGCGAGAGCGAGGGGTAGAGGAGGACACTACCGGTGGTTTCAGAGCCAGATGCAGCTCCGGACGACAGAGGGATGGAAAATGGTGCCGAGGCCGGAAGAGAGAGAGCGCATCGTGCAGCAAGTGCATGAGAAGCTGGGGCATTACGGGGGAGCCAGGACCAGGCAGCTATTACAAACCACTTACTGGTGGGCAGGGATGAGGAGAGACATAGCGAAGTGGGTGCAGGGGTGTGAGGCATGTCAACGGAACAAGGCAGCGCTGGAGAAGGGAAGGGAAGAACTGCAGTCTCTGCCCATACGGGGCTTGGGATTCAGGGGGTCATTTTACCTGGCCGGTGAACTACCATTCTCCAGATGAGGGAAGATGTACATAGTGGTGATGATAGAGCACACGACCAAGTGGGTGGAGGCAAGAGCCATCGCCAGCAAAAACAGCGGGCTGATAAGGGAAGCATTTCTGGATCAAGTACTCACCAGATATGGCGCTTGCAGGGAAGTGCTGACAGATCAAGGCACGGAGTTCCAAGGCAGCTTTGATGAACTCTTGAAAGAAGCAGGTATCACTCACAGAGTGACGTTGCGGTACCACCCGCAGTCTGACGGGCTGACCGAGTGGATGATACAGACGATCAAAAAAGGACTGCGGGCGTACGGAGACGGAGGAAGAGAGAGTGGGACATAGAGCTGCCATGGGTACTGGCGGGCTATCGGTTTGCAAAGCAGTCAGTGCTGAAGGACATGTCCCCATACCACTTGCTATATGGCAGAGAGCCAGTGCTGCCCGTGGATGTGCCTAAGCTACTTACTGAGCCAATGAACGAAGCGTCAGTGGAAGCATGGGCGGCAGCCGCAATGCGGAGAGGGGATTACTTGAAGGAGCTGATGCCAGCAGCGCTGGAAAAACTGCATACCACGCAGCTGAGGGATGCACGCAGATATCAGCAACGCCGAGAACAAGTGACAGGAGGGACATCCAGCAGCGTGACCGTGGGAAGAGAGGTGTACGTGAAAAAGGCGCGGAAAGATACATTGGAGCTACCAGTAGGAAGTGAGAGGTGGCGCGTCAAAGAGATTCGCTCATCGGGAGTGTTAGTGGTGGAGAATGGGAAAGGGGAAACTAGGAGAGAGCATGTAACAAACGTCGCGGCAGCCGGAGAAAGGCGGACCAAGCAGCAGAGTCCCAGAGCCGAAGCGGACAAGGCGTCCGATACGACCAGGGAGGGGGCAGGAGAGCTCGGTCCTACAGCTCCAGTAATCACCTACTAAAGGCGGACGGGTCACCAAGAAGGAAAGAGAAGCAATGAGGAAGGACAGGTGAAGTGAATGGGAGAGAAGAAAGAAGCACGACAACTGTAACTGCTATATTACAACAAATTTAGTACAACAATACGGAATGATATAGTGCCCCATGTCTGTGGAATTCTACTGATCTAAATACCTGCACAAAAATGTGGAAAACGGAAAGCGGTTAGCAACAAGGTGACACTGGCCGAAACTTCTAGCAGCTTACACTTACATTCAGGCTCGAGAAGGAACCTCTGTAAGGCACAATAGTGGCGGACAATGATTCAAGAAATTGCATGACAGCCCCCGGCAGAAGAAATTAACCACAAGGACAACTCACCTTCCTCCCAAGAAGCCATTAAATGCTGTGAAGTTAGAAGAACCCTCACAACATTTCTGTGAATGATCAAGAAATACATCCACTAGCGCAGATAAAAGGCAGGTTTTGGAAAAAAAAAAAAACAAATCAACATGCGCAGAAACATACAGTCGCACTACACCATGACTCCTAACATTGTCACATACCCGCTTAAATAACGCAGATGCACTGGAAGTTTGTCGAAGCCCTCACGTTGGATGCACGATGCTTCGCTCTAAGGGGAGTAGAAATCACTGCGTACACACGACGAACAGAATCAGGGAGTGCATAGGGCACCACGGCATGGGGCGTCAGACAGAGTATGGAATACTGAGGAGCTGAACAGAAACTCAGGGCTCACATGATACTTAATAGAGACATCTGAACCAGAATACCAGGGTGAAGTGTTTGTGAAAGAACGGAAACAAGAGATCGCAGAGGGAATAGCATCGGGATAAACATTGGGGGTTGAGGCTTCAGTTGTGAGTTTATCGGTGAGTACGTGCAGAGCTCTCAGTTTTGTGCCAGAGCTTTGGGCCGTAGACAGTGCGCCCAAAGGAGAACTTTGTTTTGTCAACTTTCAAGCCTCTCATGTACGGAATCTCAGGGCTCGCTGCAATCTAAACGGAACTTCTAACTTCATCAAGTGCATGCGACAGTTTACTGCATACCAGCCGTCCACGCCCTGGCATGTACTCTGTGGGCGCACACTATGACAGATGGTTGGCTGGCACTGGAGAGTGGTTCAATATGCAATGCTCTCATTGGTCAGTCGCGTCAACCTGACCATCACTTTCATACCCCATCATTTATCAAGCTCCGTCAAACACATCATTTTTTTTTCGAACCAGTTCCATACATCCCTAGTTTCAGTAGTGTATCCTCGAACCAGTCAAACGAGAGTTCCGGACCTCGCGTCGAGACTTGCTATTGGTGCTGAAGAAAGCTGTGGCACGGGCCGAAGCACCACTTCAAAACAGCAATCGCGAAACAGTTTTGATTGGTTGCTCCATTTTGTCGCGAAAAAGATGCAGACTTTTTGGGAGCAGTAACAGTTTCGCCCCACAACAAAGTAACTTGCGTCACTCATGTGGGGAACTTGGGGGCATCAGAGGGGCTGTCACCTGTGGGTAACCCACCTTTCCGTCAGCTATTTGGGGGCGAGAAATTTGGGATGTCGTCTGCTCGCCTGCTGCCACTGGCAAAGCCAGGCAGTGAGTTAGGGGTGGCTCAAGCCGAATGGCTCTCGCGACGGGGATTAGGGTCGTGCAGAATGGCTTGCATCAGCCATGTTGAAACCCTCCTAGGCTCCCTCCCCTCCCCGCGGGGAAATCGAGCGCGGATGCTGCGCACGATGATAGTCAAGGGGCCAAGGTCAAGCGTTCCGTTCCCCTGGGCATCGCAAAAAGTGCAACGTTTACGAAACGTTTATGCCATTTTGGGCCAACCACAAAATTGGGGATCATTCGCAAAGTGTTCGACAAGTATTTGTTCATCGTTTCGTTTGACGTAAATGGTTTGCCAGTGTTGCGTGGTTGAGATGGTTCGCGGATGCATTGTTCTGTAAAGGTTACACCTTACTGCATTGTTGTACTTGCGTAACTTAACGGCCCATAGAAGTGTTAATTTTATGCAGGGTTATTCTATAAAAATGGTAAAATGGCTTTTGCATTCATCGTCCGTCATTCATAGTGCGGCAGCAATTCATGGCTCGTGCATAATAATCGAAAGTGTGATTTTTAGCACATACTAAGGTCGTTGTAACCATGCAAAGTAATTTAGAAAGTCAGGGTGGCAGGGGTCACGTGCAGGCAAGTCAGAAGAGAAAACGGTTAACAAGCCGGTACTCAGGCTTTGTACAGCTTGGGACTACATGGGCAAGGCTTAGGATGCAATCCATGTCAATGACAGCGTAGTTGTCGATGCCCGTCGTTGGGCTCAGGCGCTTGCACCCGGTGTCCGGGCATGGCCGGGGGTGCTCGGTGTAGTAATGAATGTAGGCGACATGACCCTCCACACCCGCATCGTCAAGGTAGTGGAACAGCACAAGGGCCCGGCCATACCACGGTGGCCCAAATCCATCTGCGGGCTTGATAGAGACGTCGGAGAAGAGCCACTCATGCGGGGTCGCCTTCACAAACTGCCCCTTGGCAGTCCACTCCATGCGGTCGTGGGGGGGGATGGCCATGGCCGTATGCACCTGCATGCACATGGGTACGAGTGGCATGGACGTGCGGAACAGCAAGGCGAGACTAGGGAGCGGAGGTTGGGGGGACATGAGGTAAAGAGCTCAGCGGGAATGAGGGTAATGCACATGTGATGGTGGTATTGGGGGGGAGGGGTGGAGGGCGGATGAGATAAAGCAACACGCGATAGGGTTTCGGTCAGGGTCGAGACTGGCATGGTTCTTAACTAAACAGGTTTAGAGGGCTCACTTCATGGAATCATGAACACCAGCACCTCCCACTGGTGTGGGTTGCAAGTTCACGGGAGCGTTGGGGAGGTGGATGGGGAGTTGGGATGGTCAACACACCCTCAAACACGGTTAGGGGCAGCGACACCAGAGGATGGAGGGCAGAGTACAGATCTCGGCCGAAAGCTGCAGCATGCGGAAGACGGAGACGATATGGGTCAATGAGCAGGCTTGGATCGTCCCTGTACATGCGCTTTGAGCATGAAGTCCATGTTCATGGGCGTGCTGTATCGTCGCACACCGTCCAACTTCCACTCCTCCACGCGATGCAGGAAGCCCAAAACGGCCGATTGCCGCTTGTACAAAACTTCCAACTATCAGAATGAGAGAATAACTAGAATAGGAAGATACAGGGCAATATAGACTAGAGTGTTGTAACCTCTAAGGCAAAAACCAGTATAGTCTACAGTAACCACCTCAGTTACATTTGACACACCCCCTAGACTAAATAGGGGCAGTGCCTAACAGGAAAATAAGCAGCTCATGGCGGCACTACTAGTCTAGCCTCTGAGACAAGGGTCTAAAGACCAGTCAAAAGGAGTACAGACAAGACAAGAGCAAGGCCAGTCAGGGTAATATATAGAAAGGTCTGTACACAATCAAGGCCCTAGCAAATGAGAGGCTACAGGAACAAGACCCAGCTGTAGCTCACGCAAGAGGAAGTACCGCAGCTGAATGTGTTCGCTCTGCCCTTGAGTCACGGCTCTCGACTCAGGAGGATCATGGCCCTGTTGTCGGCGTACAGGACCGGGGCAGAGCAAGGCCGCTCACCTAAATCAGTGAGCAAGAAGGTCAGCCAGCGGAGTTCCTGTGCCGCCATGGCACCGGCGTAGATCTCGGCCTCACAGCTGGACTGGGCAACAGACGAGGAGCGAGTAGCTCTCCACGAGACAGCACCCAAACCAAGGCTAAAGCAGTAGCCCTGTAAGGACCTAAGAGTCTCGGCGTCGTCTGCCCAAGAAGCGTCTGTGTGCCCAGTAAGGACCACTGGCCTGCGCCCTCCTATCACTAATCCCATGCCCGATGTACTTGCAAGATAACGCAGAACCCTCTTTGCGGCAGACCAGTGCTCAGGTCGGTGTCTGCCTGTGGCCACAAAGCGAGCCAAGATGCTGAGAGGGTATGCAAGATGTGGGCAAATGCAAGTCATCAGGTACATGAGGCAACCCACCAGCTCTGCGTAAGGGCCACTGGGCTCTACCGAATCCTTAGGAACTGGAGCAGAGAGCCTGTGGTCTATAAACAGAGGGGTGTGCTGTGCGGAGGAGA